TCGGTTGTCTTTACTCATTTTATTAAAAAAAAAAATTCCGCTATCCATCTGAATATTCAGATTGCAGATTTCTCATTCTGGTTGTTAGTAGCAGTTGCTGTCTTCTTTATCACATTGTAAACTGTTTATTAAGTTGCCGAGGAATGGAAATCTGTAGAATATTCTTCGCAATTTATAAGGGAATCAGGTGAGTAATAAACACCAGAGTTACTGACAAAACAAACCATATACGTTTTGATTGTTTTGGCTTTGTTTTTTTTTCTTTTTTTTTTCTATTTTTTACCAAGAATTACAACCGGAAACAACTTTTATTAGATTGTTCGGAAAGGAATTACGTATGCCACCATTAAGAATTATGAATTAACCAAGAAAGGAAGAATCCAGTAGGAAATGTTGGAAAATATGTCAGGATTAATTTGCATCCATGATAGAAAATAACTGTAATTTTAAGAAAGCGTATAGATTGTGAGTCAATCAAGCAAGGTGGAAACAAGTGTTAATTGTGAAAAATTATGTTAGCATAACTTTGTTATCCAAGACAGAAAATAATTTAAATGTTAAGAAAACGTATAGATAATGAGTCAATCAGCCAAGGTAGAAGCAAGTGTTAATTGTCAAAAACTATAGATTATGAGTCAATCAACCAAGGTAGAACCCAGTGTTAATTGTCAAAAAGTATATATTATGAGTCAATCAACCAAGGTAGAAGCAACTGTTAATTGTCAAAAACTATAGATTATGAGTCAATCAACTAAGCGTGAATTGTTGGAAAGTACATCAGGATTAAATTGTCATCCAACTTGAATGGTAAGAATCCGTATATAGAATTAGTTTATCGTATTCGAAAACTAATTAGGTGTTTCAACGCTAGTCTTTCAGCTAAGATAGAACAAAAGCTGAAATGTTTGGAACTACATCAGAATTAATTTTTCATCCAAGATAGAATAATATTTAATGTTAAGACAACGTATATCGAATTAGTTTATCATCCCTTCTTTTACGTGTTTTCTGAAAGTCTTTGCGTATTTCATTGCTGTGGATTATGATTAAATCAACCTAGGTAGAACCAATACGACTAGGATTAGTTTGTCATCTCTTCTATTAGGCTCTTCAGAAAGTAATTATGTATCCACATCAGAACAAATGATTAATTGAAGAAAGCTTTTGTAGAATTAATTTATCAAATCTACTGTCCATTTGAGGATGAGAACTTGAAAAAAATAATATATTTTCCACTGTTTACTCTACAAATTTCCAAAAGACAGAGATATTTAAAAGCATTTTGCGCAGTGTACAAATTTACTATAAGTGTTCATCCTTCTCATCTGTAGTTTAATTGATTTCAATTCTATTCGTCTATATGCTAAAACGACAGTAATTATTACGAAATATTGAATCCATTTACGGAAGTCTTCACTCCTGATCTGGTGCAATTTCAATGGCTTCGGCCATTTCAAGCTAATGGTACACTGAAAAACTTGATCGGGTAAACGAGGGAAGTATTCTTTAAAAAATGGCGAGGTACAGGCAATAAATAAGTTATAACTAAGTTATAAAAAGTACAATCAAATAGAAATCGCAATCCGTAGGTGAGGATAGCGCCTGTGGAATAACCTCCCCTTTTAAATATCTTATTTAAGATGGGAGGTTATTCGACATGCCCCATCATCTCCTAAAGATTGTGATTTCTTTGTGATTGTATTCGTAAACTTAGACAAGTCTCAAGCTTGAATACGTTACAACCCCCACTTTTTTTTCCTGCAGCCTTGCTATTCATTTTCCAATTAAATCAACTTCTCCTAACTTTTATCCTTTGCCACTGATTTTATTCCACGCTGTATTGTTGATTACGTAATAGTAGTATTAGTACTCTGAGTTTTTTTTGTTTTGTTTTTGCGTTTTCATGCAAAACTCTCTTTTCAAAGGCCATAATGTTTCTATTTTTGCAAGAATCTTCACCCTTTTTCGGTTTTTATACATGACGTGACGAGCTCTCATGATACAAAAGGCCAATTTGAATCTTGTCCAAAGTTAAACCTTTGTTCCAAATTCCTCCCAAAAGTAATCTGGCGATGAAGGCATCGGCTAAAGACATTGTGATAAAAAGCAATAAAAAAGAAATGACTGTTTTCAAAATAAGAAATAATCTTGTAATCAAAATTATCTTTTTCCCTCAATATGAAAAGTAATTTTTTCTGTCACCTTTTCTTGCTTCGCTGTCAACAATATTTCCAGCTTTCTTAATGGCAAGACTGGCGTTTATATATTTCGTATGAGACAAGTGAATCTTTTTTTTCTCTCTCTCTTTTATTGAGAAGAAATAATTTCAAAGAAAAGACCCAGACAGACGTGTTGGCAGGGATTAAGGTTAATACACTCTAATCCGATCTGTTCAATCATTTCTTTCGCTGTAGGGCTCAAAAGAAAGGAAAACATTTCCACATTTTCGGCCGTACACATTATTCTATGTTTGCCATTAAAAAAATATGAACGTTTAATGTTTAGTTCTTCTTTTCAATGTTCTACGACTTCAGCAGGGGAGGTAATCGCGATTCTCCAACTACTTGCTTTTTTTCATTTTTCTTATCTTTTTCGTAGAAAGTATGAGAAAGTTAGACAAGAAAATTAGTAATCATACTAAAGGATTTCATCGCTCAAAGGAGATGATGATGTGTAGATGATATAATTCTTAAAGAAACGACAGATTCGAACATGTTCTGTTCACAGTTAAATCATCTGGAGGAAAGAAATTGACTAAGTATCAGGAAAAACCCATCAGAGGAATGCAAATATAATAAAATATGCCATATGTGAACAGTCCAAAATACTTACGGAATCCCTTGCTCACTCTGTATATAGGGCGAACATTAATAAACAGGGATTTTTATCGTGTTGTTTTAATGGTGGTAAATGCAGTTCCCTCGTAAAATGCAAAACTGATATATTTATCTTGAAAATTATGCCAATTTATGCGAGGGCTACAATTATGTGACAAGCTGAATGCTGACAGTTATAAGTGGAAAGAAACTTGTTATAGGTATGACCCCCCCCCACCTGGTTTGCAAAAACACTCACTAGTTGGCGCTGCGCACCACTATAAAAGGAAAAACACAAACTCTTCTTTTCGTCCTAGATCGATGCAGGTAGAAGTCTTCTCCAATCTTTCTTTCACCTGGCCAAACAGTGCATCTCCGACATGAACGCACTCAAACATACACACTACCGCTAAACCTATCAATCTTTTTTTCTTACTCTTTTCACATATATATGTTACCAGTTATCTAACTTGTTCCTCTAGCTTTTATAGAGTTAATGTCAATAAAATTCGCCCACTTTGATCTTGGACAAGTCGCAGAGCCTTGAACCAAATGATGTTTCATTTACTATTTTTTTATTGGAACTGTATTGCGCCTTTTAACTTCAGGACGACACTTGGCCATTTGTAAGCTTGAGAAATCAGGATCAGAGTAACTTTGGTTGACCGGCTTTCAAATAAGTACAATATATAGGCACTGAAATGCATTCGCCTATCTGACATCATTGTACCAAGGTTTCTAGAATCTTAACGTTTTCGCCGTTCTAAGTTTCTGGTTCTATCTCTCCAAGACGCCTTTGGAAATTTGCGAAGTAATCTTAAATGGAACACATTTGGATACATTTCATATTGGGAATTTCGCGTGCGTACAAGGCAGTTGACAGTACAATTCAAGAGTCATTCGTAGACCAGTGATTTAGAGTCACCGTCAAATATTTTTTTTTCATTAGCTATAAGGGTACAAAGAAGTATATTTTCTCTCAAAGAATCAAACTTGATTCATAAAACATCCTGTAGACCAGCAAATAATCTACACAGAGTCTATTTCAGAAGACAGCCATATCAAATTGTTAGATGTAGTCGTAAGTTTTATGCTAACAGTTTTTTTTTTTTAATCGCATTTCTCGCTTGTGGAATATTCTTGAGGCTTCTTGGTTCCAAGTCAACTTTAATCTTAAACAATTTAAATGCAATGTTAATCGTTTTCTCATGTCTTTATAATTATTGTTCTTTTATTTTCCCCTCTCTTTAATAGTAGATTTTGTCATATTCTCCGTACCCCCTTGCACCCTACAGCGTGTGTAAATATAAAAGTGAACATACAAGTCAATACTTAGAGGCGACAGTCTGTTTCATGCTAGACGCAATCGTCAGGCACTGTGGGCTGACGATTTCGTGTACCATGAAACAGAATCAGAGAGCCGAGTTCGAGTTCCAGTCGAATCCATGACATTCACTTACGTGCTAATACCCTTGGGAAAGGTGTGAGTCCTCTTCTTCTCCCTCCAGCTATGGGCAAATAGCAGGACATACTGGGTTCTATAGCCTTGGATGGCAACTGGTCTAGGAGAAGGAAACAATGAATTCAAAACCTGCGGAGGGTCTTTTGGGGACCTTGTTGCACGTAGTGCACCAGGTCTCTGTATTCGGCCCTTCAAAAAGTGTGGCTGGCCCGGCACCAAACTTTCACGACTATAATCAAATCTCATGTGCTGTTGTCAGGATGTCGGTTTCATAGGAACTGATCTGCTTGACCCTCATAAGTCGAATTCGACGGGAGAGTCGAGTCGAGTAGTATATATATATATATATATATATATATATATATATATATATGTCTTTACAAATAAATATTCTAAATTTATAAACGTTTCCCTATTTATCTGTCAGTATTTCTGAGATGAGGTGTTGTAATTATTGACATCATCGTCATTGTTGTCCTCATCTTTATTGCTATGTTCACGGCATTTTGGCCGTTGTACACTGCGGCCTTTTTAAGGTGATTGGAATTTTTAACCGGACTCTTCCTTTCGCCAAACGGGGTAGATTGTTCTAGTTCAACGTGCCACGCTTCTTCCGGATGTCTCAGAAAGCTCCCTTTAATTCAACTCTTCAAGATTTTGTTCACCCCTGCAGTAACCAGGAATTGAACTCACAACTCGAGTCATTCGATAGAACCAAACTTTTATGCACTGAGATATCGATGATTGAAATGGTCGTAACAGAGATAGATAGATAGATAGATAGATAGATAGATGGATAGATAGATAGAAAAAACTGCAAGAGTTACCAAAATATATATATATATATATATATATATATATATATATATATATATATATATAGAGAGAGAGAGAGAGAGATAGATAGATAGATAGATAGATAGATAGATAGATAGATAGATAGCCAGAAATACGAAAAGACTGTGATAAATCGATAAAAGAGACTGAGATAGATAGATAGATAGATAGATAGATAGATAGATAGATAGATAGATAGATAGAAAATAGATAAAAAAGATAAAAAAAAAGACTGCGGTAAATAGATAGATAGATAGATAGATAGATAGATAGATAGAAGAGATAGATAAAAAAAAAAAGACTGCAAGAGATACCAATCGACTGAGATATATATATATATATATATATATATATATATATAGAGAGAGAGAGAGAGAGAGACTGCAATAAATACATACATACAAAAAGACTGCGATAGATAGATAGATAGATAGATAGATAGATAGATAGATAGATACAAACAAGCTGCAGTAGATAGATAGATAGATAGATAGATAGAAAGAAAGAAAGACTGAAATAGATAGATAGATAGATAGATAGATAGATAGATAACAAGAGTCTGAAATAGACGGGCAGAAAGAGAGATACTATAATAAATAGATAACTAAATACAAAAAGACTACGATACATAGATAAAAAGAGACTTCGATAGATAGATAGATAGATAGATAGATAGATAATGAACAGACAGAGATGCTAATGGTGATAATAGAAATATTAGCTTTTTCCCTACAAGGAAATGATTGTCATTCATTTTACCTGCAGCTATCAATCTTTTCTGTTGAAAATTATAAAATCTTTCCCTTAAACTACTTTTTTTTAGGAAAACAGCCTTCTCCATTCCAGTAGCTGTTATCGTTCTTTCAAGTATTAATAGGTGTTTGCGACCTAATCTTTTATTTGAAGTGGTGTGGTTAACTTTATTATTCCATTTTTCTTCTCTTCCAGTTATATATGGTGGCCTCTTTAGTTGTTGTTGGTGTTGGTAATTCTCAGTTTTCCTTATTTCTGCCTTATTTAATCATCCTCGCGAATTTTATTCATATTTGTCTCAGTTTATGTCATACACGATGTCTTAATGATTTTTAGAAATTGTTCTTTATTTTGTGCATCTTAATCATTTCGATTATGTAGTGGTTTTCAAACCGATGTACGCGTTGTTTGAATTATTATTAAACATTATCTAAAAAGGCAAACAAATTCATTTTGTAGTTCCTTTTTGCATAAGTGATGAGTATGTAGCAATATATTAGCATTGATTTTTTTTGTGCCAATTTTCTAGTTTGTTTTGAGAGAAGAATTTAATAGATTTTTGTCTTATACTTTGTATCTTTACTGACACTATTTATATTCGGACAATTCCTAACATTTATTTATACAAAATAAAAAGGAGAAACGGCAAGACGTGGAAACAACAAAACGAATATTATTTATTATCCTGTTGTTATGTAGTGTTGGAGACAAGAGCGGCAGTAATACTGAGTAAAATTGTGAGTTTTGGAGTCAAATGCACATCAAATATGGATCGGGATCCGACAGAAGGATGTGATAAATAATAAGCAATGTGTATACAATTATTCTCGTATTTTTCTTTTTATATGTGTGTAAAAACTGCCCAGATAATTTTGTTGGGAACGACAAGAAACGTTTTCTAACCTCGATTTTTTGTCGAGACCTAAAAGACAAATGTTACTATTATGTCTTGAAAAGGAAGAATGGAGATGAAATTTTCATTGACGCGCGTTTTAACGGCCTGTCCGAGTGAACTGTTTGTCCGATAGTGAGAACGTCACGTTTTGTGCGTAGAGGAGAAAAGTGGGTTTGCTTTTGAATAGTATAGAATATGTGAATCTCTATCTATAAAAGGCAGTATGTATGTGTGTGTGTGTGTGTGTGTGTGTGTGTGTGTGTGTGTGTGTGTGTGTGTGTGTGTGTGTGTGTCTGTGTGTAACGAATGCACAGCCGCAATTTTCGACGGATTTGCACCAAAATTTACATGCACATGCTCCAAGTTAGCGGTGGCTAAGACCGACTGTGCATTTCCCCAACTCCATCGATAGTGGAAATAATCGATTTTTTTCATGATTCTACGGCAGTTTTCATGTAGTTTGCGGCCATTTTGTACAGGCCAGATTGAGAGCCTATAGCTGGCTGCCACGAATAGGCAGGAAGATTCTATTGGCCAGCGTGAGAGCCAAGAGCTGACTGACACGAATGTTAAGTAGAATGCCCGCAGGCAAAAAAAATCGATTTTTTGTCGAGACCTAAAAGACAAATGTTACTATTATGTCTTGAAAAGGAAGAATGGAGATGAAATTTTCATTGACGCGCGTTTTAACGGCCTGTCCGAGTGAACTGTTTGTCCGATAGTGAGAACGTCACGTTTTGTGCGTAGAGGAGAAAAGTGGGTTTGCTTTTGAATAGTATAGAATATGTGAATCTCTATCTATAAAAGGCAGTATGTATGTGTGTGTGTGTGTGTGTGTGTGTGTGTGTGTGTGTGTGTGTGTGTCTGTGTGTAACGAATGCACAGCCGCAATTTTCGACGGATTTGCACCAAAATTTACATGCACATGCTCCAAGTTAGCGGTGGGCTAAGACCGACTGTGCATTTCCCAACTCCCATCGATAGTGGAAATAATCGATTTTTTCATGATTCTACGGCAGTTTTCATGTAGTTTGCGGCCATTTTGTACAGGCCAGATTGAGAGCCTATAGCTGGCTGCCACGAATAGGCAGGAAGATTCTATTGGCCAGCGTGAGAGCCAAGAGCTGACTGACACGAATGTTAAGTAGAATGCCCGCAGGCAAAAAAAATCGATAGCTGCATTCGTCACAAGTGGGAAAAATTTAAATCTGCATGGCACTTTACTCCAATTGGCTCATTTGCTTGCTTAAACTCAACATTGATTCTGATTCCGCAGAACTGGGTTGGATGTGAAAAAGTATTTGTTGCTAACATTCTTTTTTCATTCGGTTTTTCCAGTTACCAGTACTTTTTTAAAGCTGATCGTTTCGTATTGATCTTGTTTAGTTCTTTTTTCGTAACAGATTTAATGTTTAGTATAGATCTTAGAAAAAAATTGCAATGTGAGATAGGCAAGAAGTAAGGCATGTAGCAACATCAGCACGGCAAAGGGCATTCCTTTAAAGGCAATGAAGGGCAAAAATATTTCAAGTCAAGTGATAGCGATTGCTGTATGAGTCGTACGATTTTTGAATCAAGCACGGGCAACGTCGGGCCACGCTGCTAGTTAATGATTATTATAATTGTTATAATTATTTTATTACAATTATTTTGTACACGATAATAAATTTGTATTTACTCTTTTATGGACACAAGAGTATAATTATTTAATCTATGTAAGTAGTTCTTTATGGACGCGGCAGACAGTGCAAATAATATTAACTTCTCATTACAGAAATTCAGACAAAAATAATTTGCATCTGCTTTGTTTTTTGTTTTTGTTTTTTTTGTGTGGTTAGTTTAATTTTTTTTTTTAGCTATTATTGGTCTATGGAAATGATCATTAATAAATAGTTTTTTCTTTTTTTGATTTTGCGTTCATTATTGAATTACTGTGCGCGTAAAAGATGTTAACGTCAAGAGAGATAAAAGAAAACATTGGTTAACCTACTCTATGGCTGAACAGAGTAGGAGAGGGTTCGAAAGATATTATTTAAAGGATAGCAAAATGTTAATCACACACTGCCGGAAGTGACAAGGCATATAAAAGAAGAAATTTAGATTTAGCACCAGCTGTATTCCCTATCGATTAAGAAGAAAAGGTGGATGATACGCTGGCCATGTATTCTTATACTTGTAAATAAAAATCTATTAAAAAACAATGTCAGAATATCATAATATTTCATACATTTCAGTTTGTCAAATTTAAAAAAAAAAATTGATGCGAGATCGGAAAGATAGCATATGCCGGTGTCGTGAGTGCATTTTGTTTATATCATTAGCATTTCTCGGCGCCTTTCTGGCTATTTGAAACATGAAATTATGATTTTACCAGAAATGAGTCTCTCCGACCTCTCTCTCTCTCTTTCTCTCTCTCTCTCTCTCTTCGTACTACGAAATTATAGTGTTACTATAATACATAATATATATCATTTGGAGAAATACGCTGATTCGATTTTCGTATTAAGACACGAACAATTTTGTCTCGGATCGAAGTTGGAAAGATTGATGAATCCATAAAAAATTAAAAAGATTTAAGAATGAAGATGCAGATTTTTTTTCCCCGAAGTTGCTTGCCTCTTCTTTCTGCGACTGACCAGTTGTCATCCAAGGCTATAGAACCCGGTCTGTGTTGCTATTTACCCATAGGTGAAGCTTGAATATGGGGGGGTGTAATAGCTCGAAATTGTTAACCGGAAAGCCGAGTTCAAATTCCCGTTGGGTTCGTTATATTCACTTACGCCCAAATACTCTTGGGAAAGACATGAACCCTCTTCTTCTCCACACCAGCAACGGCTGGATAGAAGAATAGGATCCATTCCTTTGCCAAGGGTATTAGCACGTAAGTGAATGTAATGGATTCGACTGGAATTCGAACTGAGCTCTCCGATTCCCAAATCCGAGTCGCCACAACGCTTAAATTCTTGGAGTTAAGGTGAGCTACCAATAAAGGAAAGCTGATCAGAATAAACTTCGTGTAACTATTTATAGAAATCATAAAGGGATGTTACGTTATGTCGGTGAGAAATTGACTGAAGCCGAGATGCCAGATCAGGAAAGATAATGCTGTAGATTCTTCTTTGGATTTTCTCAAGAATCTCTACATATCGATCAGGAAAAACAAAACCCTGACGAGATGTGGCAACAGTATCCGATGCCTGGACGAATGGTAGAATTACATTCAAGAAGAATAGATTCAAGGAAACAGAAGATGATTGAAGTTGCATTTATAGTTTTGAAGGTAATATCTGACAAGAAAGCAGCAACCCCAGGGAGAGTTCCAAAAGTGCTCGGACGTAAACTATTGGTACAGAATTAGCGCAGTAAATTTTAACAGTAAAATTATGAAATCTGCTGACAATATGTCATGCAGTCAGCTATGTTCCATGCGTGAGACGTGCTTAGTTGATCATGTATCTTTCGATACATGACTGACGAGTCAGTTATTTTTCCCCGCAGTAGGTGCAATTTCTTCCTGCGGTAAACCAGTTGCTATCCAAGACTATAGAACCCAGTCTGTTCTGCTATTTACCCATAGCTGGGGGAAGAAGAATAGGATTCATTCCTTTTCCAAGGGTATTAGCCCGTAAGTGAATCTAATGGATTCGACTGGAATTCGAACTCAGCTCTCCGATTCCCAAATCTGATCCGCTTCTACGCTTAAAGTCTTGGAGTTGAGGTGAGCTACCAAAAAATGAAAGTTTATCAGACGAATATTCGTGTAACTATTTATAGAAATCATAAAGGGATGTTACGTTATGTCGGTGAGAAATCGACTGAAGCCGAGATGCCAGATCAAGAAAGATAACGCTGTAGATTCTTCTTTGGATTTTCTCAAGAATCTCTACATATCGATCAGAAAAAAAATATAGACGAGATATGGCAAAAATATCCGATGCCTGGACGAATGGTAGAGTGATAAATGTACAAGTTAGCTTCTGGAGAGAGAAATTTCCTAGCACGAGGCAGTAAACCAAGCTGTCATGAATCTTCGGATATAATCAGTAGCACCAGACTAGAAAAAAAAATGTACACCAGAACTTAGTGAAGCGTCTTTCCCTAACTACACATACTGAGATTTATTCAGTATATTCCATTTCATATCAGTGAGAGCATTTAATTTTAGAAACGTTAAAATGAACATGCCAATTCTTGCTTTTAAAACCTCTCCAAAACCAAACCATAAAAAAAATATTGTATCATGAATATGAATGATTGAACATCTATTTTCGTCTCTGTCCAACAGGACGTAATATATGCAGTTGATGTTGAAACTAAATTCTTTCGATTTAGCGTACTTGTAAAATCATTAAGCCTTGTATTGATAAGTTTCATTGTCAGTTTGAATTATTTTTTTAGTAAGCCTCCTCCCTTATATACTGTTTATTATTCATCAAATCTCGATCTAAATAATATATAGATTTCTTGTAAAAATAAATGCCTTATAATTTTCTTGGTCACTGTCTAGACATAAAGTCGCGTTTTCTCATCAGTATCCAACTAAGAAGGGTCTTTTGAGTGTTGACTCCTAACCCGTGCTTACGGCTTTGAAATCTCTCTAGTAAATTTTTTCATTGATTGAACTAACTTCGTTTTTCCTTCTTTTTATGATACTTTTAGTTGTCACCTTGCCAAGGAATGTAATGATGTTGATTCGCATATGTTTTTTCTTTTAATATTTTCCCCTTAATCTTGATTCTAAAGGTCCACTTTACTTTCCTAGTCACTCACAAGTCTTCAGACAAATTAGCAACGTTTATTTACGGTGGTAGGATAAGCGGCAGTAGTCTGCTTAATATCCACTCCACGTCAGTGTCTGTGGCTGAAATATGAAGGCATCTTCTACCCCTACCAGAATGGGGGGGGAGTTTATTCCGGGAATAAGTTATGTAGGTAATAAGAGCTGTTGCAAGAATTATATTGGTGAATCTATATAGGAAGCGAATATAAAAAAAAGATAAACGAAACACAAATGTTCTTTTCGACAGGGTACATAAAGTTGAAGGGAAGTTCATAATTGAAAAAGAGAAGAATACTTCGAAAAGCTTTTAGAAATAGAAAAAAAGGGAGGGGAGATTTCAATACATAAAACCAGAGAACGAAAAGCAGAACTAAAAACTTATTTAATTTGGTTAGATGAAGCAGGACAAGATTAGAAGATGATAGAAATCTTTTGTTTTTTCTTCTTTTTTTTTACCGTAGATGATTTCGTGATCGCTAAGTTAGCGAAAAAGTAAATGAAATATATATCATCTGTGAAATAATGGATGGTCTTAGTTAAACCTTCTTTATAGCGATGCCAAAGTAACTAGGTTTAATTGAAGACTTACGATTCAGGAAAAAAAAACTCCTTGAAGAAGTTAACACCCAGAGGACATACTGGATTTAACAGAAGGAGAGTGAAGCATTGAGTAAACTACTTACCTGTTTTAAGTGAATAAAATCACAAAAAAGCAAAATAATAATGGTGAAACGCAAATATTTTTTGAGCAACAAATTCTAGAATGTTTGAAGATCTAGGATCTCCCATGTACGTTCAGGCCATGGTACATAAAAAAGTTGACAAGCTCTTCTCTCCATAAATTGATATTAGATATATGAAGTCAACTCAAAAATATCTATACAATTTAGTAAATTATTAAATAGCCGGAAAATAAATTCACTGTCCCGAGCTTAATTCCAGTTCGAATTTTTTTCATTTATTTCTCGTCAAGGACATGACAAAGGCATGAATTCATCTTCCCTCGTAAACGGGAAAAGTAGCAAATGAGTATGGGATCTCTTGGCTTTAAATGGTAACCAATTGAGAAGAAGGAAAACTGGGAATTTAAAACCAGCCTGAAGAGGCATAACCTCTCTTAGACCAGTTTATCCAAACTTACAGTAAATATAGAGCCCTTATAAACTGAACCAGTCTCGGAACTCCTGTCCTGACCTTAATAGGCATAGCTTATTTCGTGGTATTATCTACAGAACTAATCGGAATAATGCATGTTCCTTTAACAGAAAACTGATCGACACTTGAAGCGTTGTAAATTGTAGTATTACTATAAAATCCCATAAGTTAGGTCCAGTCTTTTATATCAACCATTGCTCTATCCAGACGTGAAAAGAGAAAACTTACATTAGTGCAAAGAACAGCTAATTCTGATCGCTGCCTAGAGCGTCAATCGCACACCCGTCATACCGAAGCGATCTTCTTCTTCCATGTGTCATATCCCTTCAAGATGTGGCGTAATCATGACTCTCTGCAATTATACAATTATACAATACAATGTATTTAGAAAATAAGGAACCTGCAATGATATTGTTCTTGACTTGGCATCTCGGCTCCAGTTAATTCCCCACCGCCGTAACGTAAACATTTCCAAGTTAATTATTCTGATGAGGTTTCCTATTTGGGACATCGATATCATAATTTCAAGCTCAGTACTAAATTGGCAGGTAGGTCTCACCATTTTACAAATGAAATTGCTAGATGGAACCGTAAGTTTCTTCTCTCATGGAACTTTCTTCTATTTTCTTTCTTTCCAGTCAAGTTTGCTTTTCAAAAATCGAAATGCAATATCACTTGTTAATTTTTATTGTTTTCTATCATTAATAATGTTTTCTTTTTCTCATATTCTTTCACCCTCAGAAAACACTTCGTAGTGGCTTTGCTGCCTGGGGTCAGTTTATTAAAACTAATACATTTTTAGTGTTTAATAAAAGCTGCCTTTTTGCTATGTCTCCAGATCTCTTTTGTCAACTATTTACGTAAATTTATGCAATATTTCCTCATTACTGCTTGACTTTAATATGTACTGTGAGTGTCAATTTTACTCAGCTATCTTTCCTCATTATGTGCCCTAGAAATCTCAACCATCTCTTCCTTGTGCTAAGTATAATTGCCCTTTCCGTTCCGATTTTCAACAAATTTTCATCATTTCTCACATTTAG